CGGTGGATGCTGTAATGAAATTTACAATTAAAATATGAAACAACTTTACAAAAATAAAATGAACTTACTTTTACAGTGAGATCAAGGGGCTGAGATTGCTCTCCTTGAAGATGATGGATAGTGGGTGACGGAACTTCATTCTGTACAAATAAACAACATTTAGAAAACGAAACTTTAAAAATTAAATAAACTTACTTTCACACAGAGGTCGAGGGGCTGCGACTGCGGATTGTTTGCTATAGCAGCAACGTGATGGGAATTCTACAAAGAAATTTATATTTAGAAATTTATAAGTGTACAAATATTAAAAACTTACCACATTTTGTTGAAGCAGGCGCGTTTGTATTGCCCCAACTGCTTCGCGAAGACGCCTGAAGCGTTCAATGTCTGCGGCGTCGGGAGTTACCTCCCCGGAAGTTACCATTCGGAGCATATAATAATATGCCTCCACCATATCGTCTTCCGACAGAAGACCACTCTCAAAAACACGACACAACAACTTGAAATGGGCGGCCATTGCAGAAATTTATGCACAAAAACTAAACACTCACAATAAAAACACGCAAAGCACGAGAAAACACGTACGTACAGATGTAAGAACGCAAGTAATTTCGAGTCACGAACATAAGCTTTTTTATATCAGGTCAGGTCAGGTAAAACAGAATCCGCCCCCTTCCGAACATTGCCGAACGTTCTATTGTTCGCCTAAAACCGGTTTTACGCTTGATTAAACACGATCTATTGTTTAAAATGCATGACTCATAACCCGCTAAACCTGTTTTCCGCGTGAATAGCCACATCTTTTGTGCTTGGGGCCGCCTTTATGGCACCACATCAATCATTTCTTTTGTTTCTACATCCGGTTACATGGGAAAGCACTTAGTTCACACTGGGCGGATAAGTGCTTTCTTTTTGTTCAGGACACCTGCACAAGTATGACTCTTAACTCGCTAAACCTGTTTGCCGCATGAATAGCCACATCTTTTGTTCTGTGGGTGACTTTATGGCACCACATCAATCAATTTCTATTGTTCGCAATATGACTCATCGATTTGGTATTTTGATTTAATTCGCGATTATAGTGACGTATTAGATTTACAGTTACGCGCAGTTTATAAAAGCTACTGTGTGTGACGACTCGTTCTCATTTGTGTTCAGTTCAGTGTCCAACGTGTTATTGTGTCAGCGTCCAAGTTTATTGCAAAAGTTACAAGTAAGTTCAACCCTCTTTATTTTTCCTAAATTGGTTATTAAATAATTGTAGGAATTTGTTTTCTAATTTTACTTTTTATTACAGATCATGTCTTCATACAGTAAACCTTATTCTCGTCCATCAACAAACCCCAGAGATCCTCGTACTGCTGAAAAGTTGTCGACGACACTCAATTACTACAAGCCTATTGCATCATTGCCAGAATTCTGCTACACAGAGGATGATCACCGAGCATTCGACAGGGATGTTATGAAGGAATACAACATCTCATCTTACAATAATCCAGTGCCCAGACACGAAGATTTCTGTTTATCAACACAAGACCGTAAGCGCATACATAACAAGTTTATGGATAAAGAACGACAGCAATTACTCAGTGAGTCGACATTTAATCTAAATAATAGTGGATCCAAAATCCTGAAAGTGGGTCTAGACGTATTTGAAGATTGCCCCTGTGTCAAGATACAAGGCAAGGATCGGAGCATATATTTTTCAAAGAGTGCATTCGAGAGTTTTTTAAGCGAATTAGAAGACATCGCCGGAGCAGTAAAGTGCGAGGAAGAAGAAGAAACTTTCGATCTAGAAGATTTTCATGTACGGTGCTGCAGAAAATATAAAGCTGCGCGTATCATTTCGAAGAAAGAAATCCACTGTGAACTGTACTTGGGACTCGTCACCCTGGAAAAAGTGATCGCTATGGCAGACTACTTACGTCAGAAGCTTAATTATTTGGGTAATTATTTGGAAGGTAATGATTGTCCTTTCAAAAACTTTGTAGAAAAAGTTGTGGACATTCTGGATAGACGTCAGCAAAAAGATGTGAGTTATAACGATTTGTTAGTAAATTTAACTGATGAACCTTTAGTTATACATGAGTTAGTCCATAAGTATCCGTATTTTGTGATTGATAAGATAGAGGATTATATGCAAACTTATGATGATAGGTTCTTGTACAAATAAATGTAAATAAATATAAATGTAAGTTCTACATTCTTTTAATCAGTTTGGTGTTATACTTCGAGACATTACAATGGAAAATAAATTTCTTCATCCATTTTCCGCTCTTGTAAGTGGCCCAAGCGGGTCGGGAAAGAGTTATTTTATTGTAAACTTTCTAAAAAATATAACAAACATCTGCTCTGTAGTGTTTGAAAAAATAGTTTGGCATTACGGGGAATGGCAGTCATTGTACGAAGATCTAAAAGGTGTTGAATTCCATCAAGGCTTACCCGATATGTCCAGTTTCGACGGCTTAAAACCTGTACTGATAATTATTGATGATTTAATGCGTGAATCAAATGGAGCTATTGTTGACATTTTTACAAAAGGATGTCATCATCGTAACCTCAGTGTTTTCTTTCTAACCCAAAACATATTTCATCAAGGAAAAGGACAGAGAGATATATCTTTAAATGCACACTACATTATTTTATTCAAAAATCCCCGCGATCGGGCACAAATAAAACATTTAACGCGACAAATTTGTCCTGAAAATTCCAAATTTTTAGAAGAAGCGTATAATGATGCAACGTCTAAACCCCACGGATATCTGTTATTCGATTTAAAACAAAGTACACCGGATGTTTTCCGCTATAGAACATCGATATTTGAAGAAGATGGCGCTTGTGTGGTATATATACCGAAAAAGGGTATTAAAGGTTTGAATCTTGAGCAATTGGTACATTCATAATGGTTTCAAAGTTGACGAAACATTCCGAGTTGCTGCGTGCTCTCTCAAATTTGGGATCAAAGGAGCGGTTGGCGTTGATAAAATGTTTGGACGATAATCAAATTGGGTGCATATGTGAGTGTATTTACAACACTTTAAAAGGACAAGTCGATTTGACCGCTGATCAGAAGCGAAGTCTCGCTCGTCATAAAACCATCTTACGGCGTATGGTAACGTCCCGTGAAAAGATAAAAAAGAAGAAACAGATACTAATTCAAAACGGAGGTGCATTCTTGCCATTTGTGCTAGGTCCGTTACTTGGTGGTTTACTCGGAAGTCTTTTTCAATAATCATGGAACACGCAAAGAAAATGTTACTCGTACCGCAGGAAGTTATGCAGCGAATTAAATCAAGTGAAACAAGGAAAGAAGATGTTTTATCGCAAATTGACGACGAAATGTCCCAAGTATTAAATTCTACACAGTCTCCATATGAAAAGTGGCAACAATATTCTCAAGTTTTACAGAAATATTTACATTTTTCGGAACAAATGCGAAAACCTGTAAGCATAGCAATTGAATCGAAGCCTACAGGAATATCAGAAGATGAAATAATAGCTACAGTTCCACAAACTTTTAAGAAAAAAGCCGAAAATTTTCTACGAATACTCAATGCTTCGGGGGATATTTTATGGGACAATAGAGGAATTGTCACAATAAAAGGCGAAGTAATCCCGTCATCGAATATTATCGACTTAATACACGACACAATAAGACCGCGTCAATCAACAAATCCAGAAGGTGGCCGACAGTTTGCAGAATTCGTCAAAGAAATTAATGTTCCTCAAGAATTTATTGGCAAAAAACAAAGTGTTGTAAAAACCGAAGACATTATTTCGAAACGACCAAAAATTACCGTGAATCCCGATCAAGACGTTGCTGCGAAACGGACGAGAAGTGCACTTAAGCAACCGGATACGAGGAAGCGTTCCAAAAGTTCTGGTGGGCTACAGCGAGGTGGATGGAACACCGAAAACCCAAAAATTTCTAAACGATTGCATATTCCCGGATGGAAAACCTTTAAACTTTAAGTAGATGGAAAGCATATATTATGATCCTTCACATCCTGCCGGATTCGGTGGAGTTTCCTCCTTGTCTTCAGCGTTAAAAAATAAATATTCGACCGAAGATGTAAAAGCATGGTTACAAAAACAAGAAGCATATACTGTACACAAACCCATTAAAAGAAAATTTCAGCGAAACAAATACATAGTTAACAATATGTTTGAATTATGGCAGGCCGAACTTTGTGATATGAGAAGCCTAGCGAAAAACAACAGAGGCTATAATTACATACTAACCGTCATTGACGTATTCAGTAAGAAAGCATGGGCAAGACCTCTCAAGCAAAAAACCGCAAATTCTATAATTGAGGCGTTTTCGTCCATTTTTGAAGAATGTGACAATACACCTGAAAATATACAAACTGATAAAGGAAAAGAGTTTGTGGCAGCAAGCGTACAACAATTTTTTAAAAAATACAATATAAATTATTATGTAACCCATAATCCCGACGTAAAAGCTTGCATAATCGAACGGCTGAATCGCACATTAAAGACGAAAATGCACCGCTACTTTACATATAAGAACACATTCAAATACGTGGACGTTCTACAAGATTTGGTGTCTGCATATAACAAATCCTATCATTCTTCGATCAAGATGGCGCCTGATGATGTGAACGAAGAAAACATTTTGAAAGTTTGGCAGAACCTCTACGCGAAGGGTTTTGGTAAAGAAACTCGACCTATATATAAAGTGGGACAACACGTGAGAATCACCAGAACCAAATATCATTTTGAAAAGGGATATGAGAGTAACTTTAGTCAAGAGGTGTTTAAAATTATTAAAGTTATAAAGAGACGTCCGCCTGTGTACAGAATAGTGGATTTAAGCGGTGAAGATATAGAAGGGACTTTTTATGAGGAAGAACTGCAGGCTGTTACGATAGACGAAGATACAGTATTTAAAATTGACGAGATTTTGGAAGAAAAAGGAAGAGGAAAAAACAAAAAATATTTAGTGAAGTGGCGAGGTTATAGTGACAAATTCAATTCTTGGATTTCTGCGGCAGAACTCAAAAACATATAAAAATGGAAGAAGAATTCTACATTACCCTGTCGATTATTTTCCCAACAATACAACTTCACACTTTGTTACACAGTTGCCAAAGCGTATAAGATTAAGTGGTAATTGGTCCGTCGGGATAGCCGAAATACAATATCCTTGTGCGTTTGCGTCAATCAGTGAAACTGACAATTTAATTTACTACAGAGATGCGCCAATAACAGATTTTCCGTTAAATAAAGTTTTAGAAAGTGCAGCGACATTTTTCCGTAATAATCTCGGAACGTCTATGTATAAAAACGGCGGTTGGTACGTGATCAAACTTGATGCTGGTAATTATGAAAACATTGAAGATATTCTTAAAGAAATAAACAATCACGAAAATTTAGGAAAGTTAATCACAATCAAATATTACAAGATCACAAAACGTGTGGCGATCGCATTTAGGACGCCTCTCTCCGTACTGGGATTTTCCCAAAGGTTAGCTTTACAGCTTGGGTATCGTCCAGAACAGAATGTAGTACGCGATTCCATACCCCCGCATCCTGCAAGTATTTGGTCAGGCGTGCCCTCACAGATGTTCATTTATTGTGATATTGTGGAGCCGCAAATCGTAGGAGATGTGTTATCACCACTAATGAGAATAGTTAACATTACCGCCGAAAATTACATTTATGGAAGTCATAAAGATGTAGTGTTTTCACCGTCACACTATATGCCAGTGATGACGAAAGAGTTTGAAAATATCGAAATACATATAAGGACGGATACAGGCGCTCCTATGCCATTCGAGTTTGGAACATTGAGTTTAAAGCTTCATTTTAAGAAATGGACTGCCCATATCAACAATACTACGTAAATCAAGCGGGCTCGGGTATCGGTACGATTTATAGAGGTTCGCCGTACCAAAGAGGTCATGGAATAGGAAGCTGGCTGGGCGGAGTGTTTCGTTCCATATTACCTTTGTTTAAATCGGGAATGCGAGCTGTGGGAAAAGAAGCTTTAAGAACTGGTGCAAATGTACTAGGTGACATAATTGAGGAGAAACCAATTAAACCAGCGTTTCAAGAACGAGTTCAGGAAGCAGGAAGAAACCTTAAACGAAAAGCCGATGACAAAATTGATACATTAATGCGCGGATCTGGTTATAAAAGACCACACATGATCGATTACGGTCAGTTCAAAAGTGCTACGGAGAAGAAAACTACACGTCCGAAAAAAGCTCCTAAACGCAAAGTTGTCAAACCAACATTCAGTGACATTTTCTCAAAGAATGGCATTCCTTCACGCACAGTCATGTGAATGCATCAAATCTGAGTTGGATCTGTTTGCACTTCCTGCAACACAAACCAGTATCGAAGGTGGGGAATGGGTGTTTTACAAGCCTTTATCATCACTATCAGACGAAGCGCCTATTGAATTCGTGGTCCCCGGAAATGGAAATGATTACCTCGATTTAAGCCACACAATGCTCTACGTTACGGCGAAAATTGTAAAACAAGATGACGCGACTTTGGGTGCGGAAGATGTTGTAGCGCCTGTCAACAATTGGCTGCATACGTTGTTCAGTCAAGTGGAAGTATGTTTGAATCAGAAATTAGTGTCACCACCGAGCAATACTTATGCGTATCGTGCATACATTGAAACTCTATTGAATTATGGCTCTGAAGCCAAAGCAACTCATCTGGGGTGTTCACTATGGCACAATGATACTCCGAAGCAAATGGATACATTAACAGCTGATAACAAAGGTTTCGCTATTCGTCAAAATACCACAAAGCTCGGTAAAATGGTGGAAATGGTTGGTCATGTGCACGCGGACTTATTTAATCAAGAAAAGTTTCTCATGAATGGAGTTGAAATGAAAGTAAAATTTGTTCGAACAAGAGACACCTTTAGTTTAATGGCTGCTACTGGTTCAACATACAAAGTGAAAATTGTGGATGCCAGTTTACTGGTTAGAAGAATGAAGATTAATCCTGTAGTTCTTCTTGCGCACACAAAAGCATTAGAAACCACTGCAGCCAAATACCCTATTACTAGATCGGATGTGAAGGTGCTAACGATTCCCGCAGGTGTGCAACGCAAATCATTGGATAATGTCTTCCTTGGACAACTACCAAAACGCTGCATAATTGGTTTTGTGTCCAATAAAGCGTTTAACGGAGAATACGCTTCCAATCCCTTCAACTTTCATCATTACAAGATTAATTATATGTCTCTGTACATTGATGGGCAGCAAATTCCATCAAAACCGTTACAACCAGATTTCACTCAAGAAGGATTATACGTAAGGGCCTACCACACTTTATTTTCTGGAACTGGAATACATTTTTTGAACGAAGGAAATAACGTATCACGTTTAGACTATCCGCACGGATACTGCCTAATGACTTTCGATTTAACGCCGGATTTATCCGCAAACGCCACAACTCATTGGAACTTGGTAAAGAACGGTTCTCTTCGTATCGAAGTTGGTTTCCAAGACGCTCTGACTGAGACGGTGAATTGTCTCGTGTACGCAGAATTTGACAACGTTATTGAAATTGATAAACATCGAAATGTCATCGCAGACTTTAACATTTAAAAAAGTTTCTTTTGACGAGTCCCGGAATACAGTGCGTCACATAATTGCATGGCCACATGCTCATCATCAAGCTAGAAAAGGACCTTGGATGCAGTACGCAAGAGATGCCGCACGTTTCCAAAGACGCATTCATCAACTTGATTACATCATTTCCCCTGTGTTGGAAAAAAAGCTACTGCGCAGCGCATGACAGAAGGGATAAAATTATAATACTTTATTACGGATCCTCAGTTTATTAGAAAATGTTTCATGTGATGGATGCCTACGTTGATTTTCAAGGATTCCGCGGAAGCTTAAAGGAATTCATTCCGAAA